ATAGGTATGTCAGTGATGTAAAAGTTAAGCCCATAGTTACTGCCAAAAATGACTTTTCCCTTAAGAGAAAAGAAATAATTATACGTTGAAAAAAATGCATTTAATTTTTCTTTCAAAATCTGTTTTAGAAAACCATTTATCAATAGAGAAATAACAAACTACCGGGCCAGACATCAAAAGTGCAACTTCCGCATCTTCTACAATAAGCACATGCTAGACATGGATGATCTGGCAACCCTGGATGGTCAGAATTGGTTGAATGACCAGGTTAGTGCATCGTAGTTTTCGGGGTAGAAATTTGCACAGGATGTTGGCCAGTAAAACATACCTTTTGGGTTGGCTTTCCATTTTTCTTTAAAAACAGGGTCTGACTCGGGTTTTACTACCTTCACTACTATCAACGCGTTACTCATACTTCTGGGGATGGTCAGAATTTACAGGACTAATCAGTGGGTTTCAATTTTACAGGTCATTAATATGTACGGTGAGCTGATAATGGATGCAGTCCCAGACAAAGTAAGTTCCTTTTTTTTTTTTTTTTTTTGCTTTTAAACAGTATGTAATTATCTGTATTCTTTAGATTAAATGGGTTGGATTATATCTTGACTCTGCATTAGATTTTGCCATATTTTCTGCCATCATTTTTGCTTAAGCTGGGTGCAGTTATATACCACCTTTTATCCCAGCACTTTGTGGGGTAGAGGCAGGAGGGTCAGAAGTTCAAAATCATTCTTGGGTTCATAGCAAACTTGAGGCCACTGTGGACTACATAAGACCTTGTTTCAGGTGAGGGAGGGAGGGAAGGAGGGAGGAAGGAGGAGAGAGAGAGAGAGAGAGAGAGAGAGAAGAGAGAATTTTTTTGCCTAAGAAAATCAGTGTCCTTTCAGGTGGTAGTGGCTCAGTACTCGGGAGGCAGAGACAGGTGATCTCTGTGAGTTCGAGGCTAGCCTGGTCTACAGAGTAAGTTCCAGGACAGTAAGAGTCATTGCGTTATTGCACAGAGAAACCCTGTTTCAAAAAAACAAATAAACAACAAAAAAAATCAGTGTTCATATTTTCTTTCTTATTTGGTTGTGTGTGTTTATTTGCACCCAAATGGAACTTTCTTCTCCTTCTCCTTCTTCTTCTTCTTCTTTTTAAGATATCTTCAACAGGAGTTATAGATTTTAAATAAAACTTGGTCTTGGGGCTAGAGAGATGGTTAAGTGCACTTTTCTTTTCCAAGGAACTTGGGTTTAATTCCTAGCACCCACATAGTGGCTTACAACTGTCTACAGTTCCAGGTTCAGGAGATCTGGTGCCCTCTTCTGACTTCTGGGTACCAGAGGCAGAGGGGTCTTGTCTGAGTCCCAGCATAGCCAGAGATATACAGACAAATACTGCCTCCAAAATTAAATAAATAAAATAATTCTTAATAAATTAATCTATTAAAAATAAATTAGAATCTAACAACAGCAGAATGGTTCTTTGTTTTGGATTTTTTTTCTCTTAAAGCTCATGATTTTATCATCTTCATAACAAGATCAGCTTAGAGCTGGACCGCTTGGCCCTTCCTGTTCTTATTGCCCCCCAGTTAAAAATGTTTGCACCTCTTAATAACCAGCATCCTCTTGGGTCTGAGTCGGGCTAGCACATTCCAGTCTCAGCATAGTCTTCTTTGTAGTTTTAGCCTTTTTGTGGAGAATAAGCTTATTCTGCCCACTATAGCCACTCTGTTTCCTGTCTTAACGCTGCTTTCCCTGGGTATACAAAGTATCCTTGCCCTTGTACTGTGTGTCACTTTGTGAGGTTGGTGCTTGCCACATTTCTTGCAGAATATCTGGTGGTTCTTAGGAACGTTCACCATGTTGGCAGGAATGATATTGACACTTGTTTTGGATTTTTGTGATAAGGTCTTGCTATTAAAGCTTTGACTGGCCTAGAACTCACTATTGTAGGTCAGTTGACTTTGAACCTAAGGCCATTTTTTCTGCCCCTGCTGAAATGCTGGGGTTATAGATGTATCCTGATGCACCCAATTCTTTTTTATTTGGAGATCCACTTGCTTCTGCCTCCTATGCCTCCTAGCTTTTTTTTTTTTGATACAGTGTTCACTGTGTGCCCCAGATTAGTGTTGGACTTGGGATCTTCCTGCTTCATCTTCTCCAGTGCTAGGAGTAAAGAGAAGAGCTACTATGCCCAGGTTGCATTAAAAGAATTTGCTTTAGACTTAACCTGAAGGCATCTGAAAGCAGGCTGCTGTGACCTACCCTGAAGTTCCAGCTTTACTAGGTCTTACGTGGGCCTAAGATTTTGATTTTCACATTCCCAGGTGATCTGATTATTCTGGTCTGGTGACCACACCCTGAGATTCACAAGCACCCAGGGGGTGGACAGTTGTATCCTAGAAAGAGAGTTAAAGTTAGCGGGAGCTAGAGCTCCGGCTCAGTGATTGGGCTCTTGTGTGCTAGACACAGAGCCTGTGTTCAGTCTCTAGCACTGAGTGAATGGCAACAGCTGTAATAAGTATGAGTTGTCCCCAGATGAGCAGATACCACTGTAAAACAAGAGAGCTAAGCTTAGCACATAAGACCTGCTGTTTGGCCAAGGTAATCCTTGTAGATAGAAATGATTGTGCACGCCTTTAATTCCAGCCCTTGGATGCAGAAGCAGGTGGATCTCTGTGAGTAAGTTTGAGGCCAGCCTGGTCTACAGATCGAGTTCCAGGCTGTTACACAGAGAACCCTGTCTTGAAAAACCAAAAAGAAGAAAGAAAGAAAAGAAAGAGAGAAAACCCTAAAAGAAAAAAAAAAAGGAAAGTGTTCATAGTTACTGGAAGGAATCTCCAAATCTTCACACTTCAGATTGGGTAATTTCACAATTCCCGTGCTGGAGTTTAAAGTAATAATTACTTCCTTCTGCTTGTTTATTTATTTTTTGAACAAGGTCTCTCTGTGTAGCCCTGGCTATCCTGGAACTTGCTCTGTAGACCAGGCTGGCCTTGAACTCATTGAGATCTTTCTGCCTCTGCCTCCCGAATGCTGGGATTTAACGGGATGCTAATAATAATGTTAATGAAAATTAGGAATAGGCTCTTCTGCTAGCTGTGTAATATATTTTCTTCCTCTTGACCTACCTTTCTCCTTCCTTCCTTCCTCCTTCCTGCCTCCCTCCCTCCTTTCCTTCCTAATTTCTGTACTTTTGAGAGAGGATCTCATGTAACTTGGACTGACCTCAAACTCTGCTATAGCTAAGGATGGTTTTGAATTTCTGATCGTCCTGTCTCTACCTTCTAAATGTTAAGATTGCAGGTGTGTGTTGCCATACCCAGTTTTTGTGGTCCTAAAGATCCTAGGGTTGTGTGCCTCTGAAGCAAAGACTTTTCCAATTAAGCTGGGGCCTTCATTTTTCTTCTCTTTTGTTTTTGAGACAGGGTATCTATGTAGCCTTGTGTGGCCTGTATGTCACTATGAAGATCAGGTTGGACTCCAACTCACAGAGATCCTCCTTCTGTACCTCCTGAGTGTAGGATTAAAGGCATTCATTCATACCTGACCAGGCCTAGATTTTTAATAAAAACATTAGTCATAAAAAAAAAAAGAAAAGAAAAGAGAAAGTAAAGGCTGGGCATGGTGGCCCACACCTTTAATCCCAGCATTGGGGGAGAAGAGAAAGGACAATGATGGGGCAGAGGCAGGCAGATCTCTGAGTTCCAGGCCAGCCTGCTCTACGGAATGAGTTCCAAGAGAGCCAGAGCTACACAGAAATCCTATGTTCAAATTAAAAAAGAAAAAACTTCCATTTATCTTTTCTTTATTTTATGTTTTCAAATTCTTAAATTTCTATTTTCTCGTGAAGTTGAGTATGGGCGTGGCATAATGTAACCTGGTTGATTGTGTTTGCTGTCCTAGGTCCATTTCTTCAACAGCTTTTTCCACAGACAGCTGGTAACCAAAGGCTATAATGGAGTTAAGAGATGGACTAAAAAGGTATTCTGTTTCCTTTATACTGAATTTGAAGTTGATGAGCGGCTCTTGGGGGAGGATCAGAACTGGAATGACACTGTGGTGTCAGTAGAACCCCATGTGACTGTTTAATGTGCTTCATCCTAATGTTTGACGGATGAGACTCTTGAGTGTGTGGATCTGAATGTGCTGTAAGGAAGGAGCTGCAGTCTGGGTGTCCATGACTGCAGCATTACTGTTAGCCTGCTGGGCAGCGTGGAGAAGACATTGCTGAGTGTGAGAATAAAAGGCTAAAATAGCTGTCAGAACGTTTTTATTGGCGGTGGCACGAGGGTTGGAAGCCAGGGCCTCTCATATGCCAGGGAAATACTATTGTCACTGAGCTACAACCCTAGCCATGGTTTATGTAGTTCAGCTGGTCTTCAACTCGTGATCTTCCTGGTTCAGCCGCCCAGTGTTGGTTACAGGTTTTCTACATGATGCCTGAGTGGAAACACTTTTGAAACCTCTTCAGTCGATTTTTGATATTTTGACATTTACCAGTAAATTCAAACTCAAATAATAAATATGGAAATAATTTTGTTTTTCATTTGTCTTTTCAAAAGACCTCAGACTCATGTATCTCAGGCTATTCTGACACTCAGTCTGTAGCCAAAGCTGACCTCAAACTCCTGATGATTTTGCCTGGACCTCCTGAGAACTAGGCAGACGTGTGCCGCCATTCCTTGCATACTTCTGACATTTTAAGCTGACTGGGAGGGTTGGAGTAATGAATGTGAGTCCTAGCTGAACTTGTAAGCCCATGCGGAGGTAGAAAGACCAGAAGTTTGAGGCTAGTCTGAGCTATGGGAAACTTTTTTTCTTGTTGCTATTTTAAAAAGAAGCCAGACAAGGTGACACGTGTCTTTAATTCTAGCACTTAGGAAGTAGAGGCAGGTGGATTTCTGTGAGTTCAGGGCCAAGTCTAGTTTAATAGCAAGTTCCACACCACAGAGGATATTCAATGAGATTGTGTCTCAAACCAACCAACAAACAAAACCAGGAATAACTCTTAAGTCGATGGAAATAAAATTTATTACTTTATTTAGACATTCCAAGCTGGCCTGGAATTCCTGCATAGCTGAGGTTGGACTGAATGCCCGATTCTCTGCCTCTGCCTCAGACTGCTGCAATTCCCAGTGTGAGCACAGCATCTCCTTTATGTATGCTGGGGATCGAATCCAGGGCTTTGCGGATGTGTCAGCAAATACTTTACCAAGTGAACCATATCCCCAGACCTGGAAATAATTTTTATAACAAGTACAGTGTCTGAAGTGTACAAATCTAAGAGAGCTATAATTCATATTCCAGTTTGGTGACCTAACTGGCTGTGACGTGAGCGCGCTTGCTCAACTATCCTGAAAGTCAGGCCCTCTGTAGAGGAGTTCACAGGTTCACTCTGTTGGGAGAATAAAGGAGATTATATTTCGCAAACCACTAAAAATATTGTAAAATACACAGTAAAATGCTAATTGTCATGATATATATTGAAACTTACCAAATGTTCATTTCAATTTTTTGATGATCCAATCACTAGGTCTTTATTTTAAAGAAATCTGGAAAAAGAAAGATTTGTAAAAAGATGCTTATGAGATTGCTAATTTTAGTAAAATTAAATTCTCAAATAAATTGATACCTCAGCTTCATGGAATTTCAAGTCATTGGTAAACTTTATGGATTTGTGTCACTATTTCTTATACATATGTATATACGCATATGTTTTCGAGCTGGAGTTTCTTTGTGTATCCCTAACTGTCCTGGCGTCAAACTCATAGATCTGCCTGTCTCTGTCTCCCAAGTGCTGGGATTAAAGGCGTTCGCCACTGCCGCCACTGGGCAGTAAATATATTTTAAACTGACAAAATTCTAACAAGGCCAGAAATTAAAGACATGCCATTAATTCTTAAAGGTTTTCTTTTTATTTTACTATTATTATTTTTAGTGGAGCTAGAGAGATGGCGGAGTGGCCCAGAGCCCTGGCTGCTCTTGCAGAGGACCTAGGTTTGGTTCCTATGTCTGGCCCTTCTCCTGCCTCTGGGCACCGGGCGTAGATGTAGCACACTTACATTATGCAGGCAAAACACTCAACACATAGTTTTTTTTGTGTGTGTGTGGATAATTCATGCCATAGGACATGTTTTTTTGTGAGACATAAAATGCTTGACTCCTAAACACTACCATCTTTAGGGTCATTATATAGTCACGATTGCTTAGAGACCATTGGCCATGGTCATAGGAAATAGTTGCAAAATAATCATTACTTTGTTAAGTGAAAATAAATTATTCTGTTCTCGGAATTCTCAAACTAGGATAGCTAAAAAAGTATTTCAGTCATATGCTAAATGCTAAGAAATTAATAAAACAGTATGAAAATGAATGTTTGAAAATAAATTGCCTTTAATCCCCAAACTCCCAGCCCTCAGAATAAGAGGCATGTGGATCGCTGAGAACTGGAGGACAGCCTTGTCTACACCGCACCTCTGGCCCTCAGACACTTACACTCTCATGCATATGCTTGTGGACACACACTCAGTCTCTAAAAAGTACATTGCTAGTGGCAGATGTCTTTCATTTAGTAAACTTCATAGACAATAAGTAAGCTCTCAAAACGATACATTTTGTAGAACTGCATAGGTATATAATTAATAGATCATTATACCCCTTCAAAAGAGAATATGTGGGCCAGTGGGATGGCTCCTGACAACCTGAGGTCAGTCCCTGGAACCCACGTTGTGGAAGGAGAGAACTCACTCTTGGGATGGTTCTCTGATTACACGTGAATTGTGACATGCCTTGTCCACACACACAATATATAAATATTAAGATGGGGGACAGGCATGGTAGAGCACATCTTAAATCCAGCATTGGGAAGGAAGAAGCAAGCAGAGTTTGAGGCCAGTCTGGTCTGTGTAGTGAGTTCCAGGACAGAGCTACACAGAGAGACCCTGTCTCAAAAATCAAAACAAAACAAAAAATAAAATGTGTGTGTGTGTGTGTGTGTGTGTGTGTGTGTGTGTGTGTGTAGGGGAGGAGGTAATTTTTAAAGACCAGACCTAGATTTGGTGTTTCTGGTTGCCCTTTATTTCCCATGTAGATATACAGTATGTATGTACCCAAGCTGGCCACAAACTTGCCATCCAAACCAGCTTCATTTATTTATTTTTCTACCCAAGGGATATTTGTAAGCACTGATCATATACTTGGCCACTAGAAAGTTGTAGAGACAGTCTTCTCTTATTATGAATCAAATTGAAAATAAGGGTCAGGAAGATGGCCCAGCAAGCAAAGGTCCCTGCCACCAACCCTATCTGAATTTGGTCCCTAGGACCCATGTGATAGAAGGTTCTCTGACCTCCACATGGCACTCCAGAATAAAATATCATGCAAAAACTTTTTCCCTGGAACTAGCTTTGTAGACCAGGCTGGCCTTGAACTCAGAGATTCACCTGCCTCTGCCTCCTGAGTGCTGGGATTAAAGGTGTGCGCCACCACTGCTCTGGTGCAAAAACACTTTTAAAAGAAAAATTTTAAAAATTTATATTAAAGGGGCTGGAGAGATGGCTCAGAGGTTAAGAGCTTTGCCTGCTCTTCAAAAGGTCCTGAGTTCAATTCCCAGCAACCACATGGTGGCTCACAACCATCTGTAATGGGGTCTCGTGCCCTCTTCTGGCCTGCAGGCATATACACAGACAGAATATTGTATACATAATAAATAAATAAATAAATATTTTTTAAAAAAAATATATTAAAAAAATAAAGGAAAATAAAAATAAAAGGTGGCAGCAGGGAGGTAGCATAGTGATAAGGTGCTCACAGTCCATGCACGAGGACCACGCATGGCTTCAGACTCAGTAAGAGACTCTCAAACAGTAATAAGATAGAAAAACAATCGAGGAAAGGAATGATGTTGACCCTCCTCTGCTCTCATGGTTGAGTCCTTCCTAAATGTAGACAGACATATTTGCTGACAATCCTGAGCAGGTGGAAGCAGGAGGGTCACAAAGGAGTTCATGGTCACCGTCATTTTAATTTAGTAATTACAAACATGGCCTTTAAGATGAGACACTGTTCACATTCTGCTTTACCACGTCCCCATTTTATCGTTAGCAGGTCAAAGGTCAGTAGATGAATGATGACGTTGGCGTTGTGGTGATAGCTCTTTCTCTTCACCAGGTGGATCTGTTTAAAAAGAGCCTTCTGCTGATTCCTATCCACCTGGAAGTCCACTGGTCTCTCATTACTGTGACACTCTCCAATCGAATTATTTCATTTTATGATTCCCAAGGCATTCATTTTAAATTTTGTGTAGAGGTAAGTTACTATTCTACGTATCTTAATTTTTAATCTGTGCTTGACCATGACAGATCATAGCTCTAGACAGAACAGCTGACATCAGCCGCTGCTTTGCAGTGTGAGAGGACAGCTGTCAGGGCAGGTGGCTGAGCTGTCAGATTTGAGGCCCCCTCTGGAGAGGCGTGCTCTAGTTAGATTCAGCATTTTATTTATTATTATTTTGTTTTTCCAGACATGGTTTCTCTATCTAGCCTTGGCTTTCCTGGAACTCATTCTGTAGACTAAATTGCCTGTGAACTCGGAGATCTGCCTGCCTCTGTCTCCTGAGTGCTGGGATTAAAGGTGTGAGCCACCACCACCTGGCTGGATTCAGCATTTTTTAAAATATTTATGTGCATTGGTGTTTTGCTTGCATGAGGTTGCCGGGTACCCTGGAACTGGAGTTACAGACAGCCCAGCTATCAGCCTCCTAAGTCCTGAGATTATAAATATACAGTACCATGCTTGGTGTTGAGATGAGGTCTAATATAGCTGAGGTTGGCCTTCAACTTGCTATGTAGCCAAGGATATCTTTGAACTCCTGGTTCTGCTCTTAGCACTCAAGTTCCAAGATGTTAGGTGTGTGTTACCACATCTGGTTCATATGGTGCTGGGAATGGAGTCCAGACCGCTGTCCATGCTGAACAAGCTCTTCACTGAACTACAGATCCAGCCCACTATCAGATCTTTGAAAGGCGTGATGGTCTTCTAAGAATTCATGTGCATGAGCTTGAACTGGAACAGTGAAGGCAGACTCCTCGGGCAGATGTCAAAGCATGTTATCAAAGTTTTAAAATTAAAATGTTACTTATATCAGCTGAGGAATATAGATTGATTGGAACATCCACTCTAAAGTATCCACAAATAATCGTGTGTCTCTGTGTGTGTGTGTGTGTGTGTGTGTGTGTGTGTGTGTGTGTAGAATTTAGTATATGGTAAAATTGAGAAAAGACAAATTGTTGAGCTGGCAAAATTAGCTGCTATTTGGAAAAATATAGAGGCTTGCATTAATACTATAGATAGAAAACATGAACATGCTGGGCATGGTGGTCCATGTCTTTAATTCTTGGATTTGGGAGGCAGATAAGTGGATTTGTTAAGTTCCAGCTTAGTTAGGGCCACATAGTGAGACCCTATCTCAAAAGCAAAAAAAGCATGAAATCTTGGATAAAATATAGAAAATGTTTTATTCGTTCATGGAGTAGGGAAGGCCTTCTTACACAAAAGAAGAAGAAAACACCAAGGAACCGCTTGAAAAATTTAATTGTATTACAAAATCTGTGTCTGTCAGATTTGGAGTTATAGCTCAGTGATAGACTCCGGGCTCACCATACACATGGTCATGGTTCAGTCCTCAGAACCACGAAGTGAGTAAGTAAAACTTACTTACATCTAGAAGATAGCAGACATGGGGTAGATCTGGAGAAAATGGCGGAGATATTAGTTAACTGCATCTCTACAAGTGAGTTAAGGGTTGGGAAAGGACCTGAGAAACAGACAGGAGAGCCGGAATGTTCTTTGTTTAACTTTAGTTATTAATGTTTTTTGCCATGTTTTTCTTCTGTCTTTAGATATAAGACAAGGTTTCAAATGTAGCAAGTTGACCTCATAAAGTGAGGGTCAAGTCTTGAGTGTTTACTTCAGTCCAGATCCGAGTGGGAGTCTGAGAGACAGTTCAGCTGGGAACTAACCCAAGTCCATGCGGTTGTACAGACTGCAGCTGCTCGTCCTTCATGTCTATCTGATTGGTCAGCTTCCATATTTTCACCAACTAATGGAACGACATGTGTTGTGCTTTCTTTTTAACCAGAATATAAGAAAGTATTTGCTGACTGAAGCCAGAGAAAAAAACAGACCTGAATTTCTTCAGGGCTGGCAGACTGCTGTTACAAAGGTAAGTTTGACACAGCTGGGGCTCTAGCGTGTGTGAGGGGACAGGGACCCAAGGGCGGTGCCTGCTGGGAGATCTTAGTACTTAATCATTGTGAGGGCAGGTAGCATAAATCATGTCATCCTTGATGTAGTTAGTAATCGTGTGGTGTTCAAATTGGTGCCGAGGCAGACACAGCCCTCCAACTGTTTCCTTATCATGATCTCATCTGATCCTTACAACCTGTGTGGCAGGCAGTTCTTTAGGGATAAGAGGCGTCTTTATTATATACACAAGAAAACTGAATATTGGAACTATTGTTAGAGGCAGGTCCTTGAACTCGGGTCTGTCTAGGTTATTGGCCCAGTTTTATAGGCAGAGTTTTGACAAATGTTGAACACAAGCCCAAAAGATCAAGATTAGTTCATCTTTTAACTGAACCAAATACTAATGTTTAAAATTTTTTTTTGTTCCTAATAACCTACATATTAGTTCACATCAGAAATGAACTTGTAGAATTTTAGTTTTTAAAAATTGTCTGATTTACTGATTTATCCATCTAGCTCGTCCAGGTATGCTACATCCTTCCAGAGTCTTCCATATTCCTGTCTTAGACGCAGTAACCAGTTTTTTGGAAGCATATTCTTTGCCTTTATGATTTACTTCAAAGAGTACAGCAGAATTATATAATCTGAGGTAAAAAGTTAAGGCTATAAAGAGGAACTTTATTAGGTAATTTTTTTTTCATTGTTGTGATGAAATCTTTGACAAAGGGGGGGTCTAATTGTGGCTCAGTCAGAGAGTATAGTCTATCACGGCAGGGTATGCGTGGCAGCAGAGGCATGAGACATCTGGTTGCATTGCATCACAGCCAGGAAGCACAGAGGACGAGTGCTGGGTACCAGCGAACGCTCTGATCCTCAGGGCCACTTGTATTCATTGTCATTGAATTGATAGCACAACTAATAGCTAGGTCTTTAAAGTGGTTTTTAAATTTGGTTTTCTCATTTCCCACATTTAAATTTGAAAATTTAATTTAAATTGAAATTCAATTTCAATTTAAAATTGAAAGATCTTTTCATGTGGCCTCTCTTATTAAGGTATTTGAATAGTAGAGGTATAGATTAGTTATCTGGGAGTAGTATTCCCATCTCTTGTTCATTTACCCATGGGAGCAGTTTCCTTAGGTGGAGAGACACCTGGTCTATTTTAATGATCATCTTCTTTTTCTCTTCAGTGTATTCCACAACAGAAAAATGACAGTGACTGTGGAGTCTTTGTGCTCCAGGTAAATACTATTTTACAGTATGTAAACTGCTTGTTTTGTCTTGAGAGAAGAAATGGCAGTCCTGTTGTTTACAGAGTTAGGAAAGACAACACTCTCCCTTTGTTGCTGTATTGCGGATGTGACCATTAGGAGGAACTGACTCATGAGCAGGGGATCTTAGGAAGCTGTGTCAGAGGGGGACATGTATGTATTAAGGACATGTATCTATGACACGTGAACTCCGAGATGATTTACAAAGACTTTGGAGGCAGCCCTACTGTACCCCTCACACCTCATGAATTTGGGGGGTTATAAGGAAACTCAAGTTACTTTCCCTGTGAGGTCCAAGTGCATACAGGCTCAGCAGACTGTACTTGGGCAGAGTGGAAGGATGCCCAGCTGTCCACTTTCTTAGAAAGCTGACTCTCACTGGAAGTCAGTGTTCTAAAATATCATGGTTCTCAAGCTGGACTTAGTGGCATAAACCTT